AAACGAAGGACAAAGAGTAGAGCTCCTTTGCCGACGGTCTCGTTATACAAGTTGGGGGGGGGGGGTGGTGGTGAACACTTTTCAAAAATAAAAACAGGAAACCAAAGACAGATCTAGACAAGACAAAACACAACACAGACGGATCGTGACAGCCGCAGTGTTTATGTGGGACATATAAATAAGGTGCTGCTGTGATGGCGTTACAGACTTACATTGAGACATGAATCATATCCATGCTGATAATTCACTTCCACTTCTATCAACCATCCCCTTATATTAGTCATCATTATAATCTCCACTCGGTTTGACACAACATATCCTGTAATCGATCACGACTACAGAACAGCTTTAAGAGCAGCTAAATTACATCTGCTCATGATCACGATTCCATTAAGTTTGATTTTAAGTATCAAAACGTCAGTTTGAGTGTTGTCGATTAGAGGTGGCATAAATCATAGAGGGATAAAGAGAAAGTATAAATGGTTTTGGGAAGGTTACAGTATTTCGCTCCGTCACCATTTGGTAATGAAGTTTCTAAAATAATTGTTTTGTTACAGTCAAAGTTTGAGTTCGGATAATAATACAAAAATGCATTTGCCTTGGAGTCAGGATGATGGGCATCTTAACAACCCTAAAATCCTAATATTTTAGAGATAATTACAATAAGGTGATTCTTTTTTATATCTTTGTCTACTAAAACTACCTGCTGGAAAGACAGTGACGTTACATCATCAGGGCTCAGATGGTGCTGTAATTGCCCTTATCTTGTTATTCTCTTTCCCAGAGGTTATTTTCTCGCATGTTTGCCACTTCATTGATGAGCGTCAGGCTTGTCATTAAAAGTACTGTGGAACAATGAAAGGGCTCTGTGACAGCAGGATTTCTCTGAACGTTGGTAATAGCTACTTAAATGGTTGGATGTGACCTCAGCCTTCTAAGCATTCACCATGAAGACATTCTCAATTACGAAAGTTCAACCGGCCTGACTATTTCTCTAGGAGAGACCAATTCAGAAAATGACTCTGAATAATGTAAAAGCAATTTCTGTTCAATAGCTGACAGTAATGTAATGCGTGCCCTGCTTTAATGTGCCAAAAGCCCCAGAGAGGTCGTCTGAGGTTGAGAATAACGAGGCTAAAGGAAAGCAAATTGCTCAGAAACCTTGATTTGATTTTTTTTTTATTCTTCTTGGGTTTTGTTTGATACGTTTAGGCAAGTCTATAAAGTCTGAAACTGCCACAAAGACTCATCTCCAAAGTCATTAATAAAGCACATTCTTAACCAATGTTATTAGCTTATTTTTCCGTGTTGTTTACTATATTTGAAATCTTGCTCGACAGAACACATGACTGCAAGACAACAGATCTCAAGTCGACTTCACTAACCTAAGATAGACCTACACATTTTTACAAAATAACCCACGTTAAATTGGATTGTCCTGTCCTACTTTAAAAAACAGAGACTGCTAATGTGATGCCAAAGATTATACATTAGACATCTGTAATTTAAAAATCAGAGTTCTCTCGAGCCTTATGTAACTCCCTCTCTTCTTGCTCAGGCAAACAGCCAGTTAGTTATCTTGTGTAGAGTACAGCAGCAACAGCATTTCCAGTATTTGCATATTGAAATATGGCATGGGCATGGTGTGTGCATCTGGACTCCAAGCTATACTGCTGGCTGCTCTATTTGAAGTGTATGCTCTGCCAATGTAACATACGACAAGCGGAGAGTCATTTACATAAATACACCTAAAAAACACTAAGAGACTGATTTAAATCAACTGTCTCTTTTAAAATATATGAAATAAAGTTTAATGGTTGCTGTGACTCATATCCTAATCACCCGCCTCCTTGCCTCTTTTCAATTACAGAACATGATGATGGTGGATGTTTGAAACGTACATGAAACCTGCAACAAATTATAAAGGTAAGCAATTTCCAGAGACTGTCCTCATCAGAAAAACCCTTGCTTCAAACAACCTCTATGTTTTCCTGACAAGCGCCATGCTAACTGGTTGTTTCTTATTTGTGGAAGCACTTGATTAAGATAGGCAAGGCAAGTTTATGTATACAGCACCTTTAAACACAAGGCAATTCAAAATGCTTTACAAAAATGAAAGACATTAAGAGAATTATGAAATAGTGCAGCGGAAAGACAAAAGAAACTTTCAAAAGCAAAGATAATAAAACATGAATAACACAGGTACATGAATACAAGTTACAGTGCAGTGTATGATGGGAATAGTTCAATTAAAAGCAGCGGCAAAAAGAAAAGTCTTCAGCATAAGTAGGGATTGGTATCGTCTGAAATGTATCGATTCCGGTTCTGCTTATCGATTCCGGTTCTTATTGATTCCCCGTCTCGATTATAAAAGAAAGAGGTCAAACTTTTTGATAACAAAAATATCTTTATTCTTTTAAGCTTTAACTGACATTTTTACAAATAAAAAAAATACATGCAATACAAAAGTATTACACAATAGCTTTATTTTAACTGAGCAGCAATGCCTGTGGCAAGCTTGCACAGGCATTGCATTGTGCCTTGTCTTTTTCTTTTTTAGTGTAGTGGAGCCTCACTTTAGAGCGTTTACCGCGATCCATCTTTGGTGTTATGAAGTGACTGAGCTCGTGTACTGTCTACTGGAGGACGGGGGGAGCCTCGCTGCGGGGAAACTGTGGACCTCTGTCGCCTGTCAGCGCAACTTACATGATGCCGTTTAAAAAAATGAAGAGCGGAGCCGGCCGTCAGCGAACCGAGCAGGCCGTCAGCGGCCCGCTAACGAACGGCCATTCTGTGATTCTCCAGAACACACAGATGGCCAGTCCGCCCCTGTATTCCACCGGGTCGCCGCGGCGCAGACGGACCCGGTGGAATACAGGGTCTAACCCTACTCTACCACGTTTAGGAACCGTTAAGCAGAACCAAAATTGTGTATTTTGTATGAGTACCCGGTACCCAGCATTTTCTTATCGGTTCTCATCTGGAACCGAGTTTCGGTTCCCAAACCTAAGCATAAGGTATGAGGTCTTGGCTACATTTTGAGAAAGTCTCATACAGTGTAACAGAAACCATGACCTTTCTCTGTTGATACAGGGCATACTTTTAGCATGTGCATTCTTGGCATAGCATTTTAGCTGCATATAAAACAATTGAATAAATGTAATTTCCAGAGGAAGGCAATTAATTCCTGAATATATTTGTAAATCCAGTCTGACTTTGAGAACTCATCTGCATTCAGCACGACACAAGCCTCGCGGATCAGAAAAGAAGCCTCCTTTACATACCAACAACTTCCAACAAGTAACAACTTAATATGCACTATGGAGTTGTGTTTTAATTTAGTAATCCCTGGAAGCATTACGTGACAGGCCCTGTTGTGACAGGAGCTTGCTTTTTCACTGCAGTCCCAAATGCACTCAGTGCTGCTGTCCCACAAGGGCACGATCTAGCTGTCCCCCTCAATGAATTACTGGCTTAACTGCGTGCAACAGAATAAGTCTTAATGAACTGTGAAGCTGGGATGATTGCTGATTTGCTTATCTGGGCTCTCTCCTCAGCTCCTCTCTGGCTGTTAGTGTTGCTACTCAAGTTCTTGAAAAGAAAACCCTGTGTCCTTCACTTCCCACGTTCTCACAATATGATTACAGCCTTGCCTTTTCTGCCTCTGCTCCTTACAGAACTGCCTTTTTCTGTGACTTTTCTGTGAAAACATTGCTTTGATTTGCATTCACGGACTTTGGAGCATAACATCTGGATGACACAAGCTGTGCCTGACATTTGAGGAGGTCATGTCGCTTGTTAGACACATCAGATTCACTCTGTGGTCCAGCAAGCAGCGCGTTCTCCATTTAAGCTGCTGTCAATAACACAAGTGACCTCAAAAGCATATTTCTCTTTTTTTCCTAGGCTTATCCGACATCTGTAGACTCTTTACTCCCAATGTATGGACACAACTGAGTGGCAAAAATAAAGGATATGGTTTACATCCCACCTCCTTCTCTGCTCCCTTCTTCGTACCGCAACAACATCTGCTCTGTTATAAACTGTAAGGTGTTAATCATAAACAAGTTACAAGCTGTGAGTGTTGGTACATGTAGTTAAATACCAAGTAAACACACCTACTGTACTGTAACAACCTTTCAGATTGTAGTACATAGTTGTAGTTACAAAGTTTAATATTTTAGTAACACAAAAGAGAAAGATTGCATCCATTACGGAGAAGCTGTAAAATAGAAGCCAGTGTTGGCTTTGATTATGTTATAAATCCCTAAGGTACCTTTAGGCATTATTTTCAACCTAAGATCAGTACTTTCAGCTTTAACGCTTATGTGAAAACACTCCCACATTTCTTTCAGTCTGTCATATTTAGTTTGTTTTGAATAAATTATATTTTTTTCCCCATCTATTCTGTAATTCTCCTCCTCAAATAGCTTGCTTACGATTACCTCTCTATTCTCAAAAACTTTTCATGGTGTTATTTGGTAAGTTTGTGTCTGAGGAGAGACCAGTTTTGCGGTTTGTATAATGTCAGACCAAATTGCCTACAGCTCTGTCTGACTGAGGTGAGGTGAGGGAAAGAATCTTATACCAAAGAGTAGTGGATGAACAAAAGAGAGCCGAAACCAAATGGCTTTGATATGGTCAAACACACAAATCTCTTTTACTTCTTCAAAGAGCTTTCTCACTCCCACTTCCCTTGATCACCCAAACTCCTCTTCCTATGTTTCCCTTATCGTGGCGGGAGACGAAGTCGGATCCACGAGTCATTCATCCTCATTAAATTCAACAGTTATATGTTTAAATCCAGCATGCGGTCTAAAAGAGACAGACATAATTTAATCAGGTTTCTAAATGACTTCTTAACGGAGATAGTGACATCTTCAGTTCTTATCAATGAGGTTAGATATGTTCTTCCCCGTGTGTGCTTATGTCTATGTATGTATTCTTTTTGACATCAGTTTATTCTCATATTTTAACCTTAGTTACACTCATATGCATTACTTTTAATGGAAGTAAAAAAATTGAATATTTTCACACATATCAAAGTAAAATGTTTGGTTGCTCCTTGACATTTGCAGTCGAGACTTACAGTATAAACACTTGTGGTTGTGTATCTAATCAATACAAATATTTGTAGCGGGCTACTACGTGAACATTCTACTTTTATGATGTTATACAACTTTAATGGACAGCTCACATACGGTAGTGGCAGTGTACAAGTGTGTAACTCCAATTGTACGTGTTTCTTCACTACTGTGCTGCATACTGTACAGTAGGTGTTTATTTCAAATGTCTTAATTATGACACATTTTTTCTTTGTAGCTCAAACACTTTCAATTTCAATAGAAATCCTTCAGCCATTATAATCAGTAATAAAGGGGAGAACTTAATAAACCGAGTGATAACACAAGCCCATTGAGGCTGTCGGGGGTGTGGAATAAGAGACTACTTATGCTCAAGTGCTACACATAATTATTCATCATTAGTCAGTCATCTGTCAAATCTCAGACATTTCGGGTATTATTGAGATGATTACTGAGTTCCAAAATGCATTCATTCCGATTTAATTTCTATTACAATTCGATGTTTGATTGAATGTATAAAGTTGTTCCAGATGGTGCCTCAAATTGGCGTTACCATATCAACCAGCAGTGTTTAATTTGTTGTCTGCAACCATAAATACCAGTATCCAATTTGGCCACCACTGTTGATGTCTTTTACTGCACCCAAGCTAGAAAATATGTGGCAACTGGCTCAATTAGTGATTCTCTGTCTCACACAAAAGAAAGTCAAAACTGAAATAAAAGATAATTGCATTTAGGAGAGAGCTACTGAGTACTGCTTTTTCTTGCAGTCCTACTTTTTTCAAAGGAAATGATCTCTTTAAAGATTATAGTTAACCCTGAATACGACCGAATTGACGGTGTAAACATTACAAGATGACTGTTTCCCGGTTGATCTCCTTGTACTGTATGTTTATGTAAGCATGATTATGTCATGCATTCATACGTGTTTTCCCCCCGTGGCTTTTTTATGTCGGTCATGCAGCTCCAGAAACAATTCTGATTCACGGTTTCACAGGCATTTATATTCTCTACTTTGTATGTAGGGCACATCATCTTTCTACTTACTAGAATATATTCTGTTTTACTCCTTATAAAGACATTTCCAGAAGTGTGCTAATGTTTTCTTTTGCTTCATACACCAAAGTTTTGTGTCATTTCATAACATATTTACCACTACTTCACTCGTTGTTGTGATATCGAGATAGAAGATATGAGACACTCAAGCAGATGCAGAATCGTGAACTTTAATTACTGATCAGGCTTTTGTCTAATCGAACACTGTATAGTGCAGTTAAGGGCCTGAAAGTGACACTGATGGTTACATACCATGATGTACAGCTTCTTAGATGAATCACTGACTACAGTAACTGACCTTGCTTCAAAATGTAATCTGGGATTTAAGCTGAATGATTGCTGCCAGTATATGACAGCTAAATGACATCCAAGACATTTTCCAACCATTGTTAGGAGAAATGAAACTCCTCAGAAGCTGGTATTTGAGAATGAATGGGCCTAATAAAATGGTGCAGTTTAAATTATCTTTTTTTCTTGAATAAGGCAGCCTACAAAGCCTGATTTACGATCCTCCTTGTGTTTTAGGAGATGTTTTAATGCATCTCTGTCTCCTTTAAAGCACTTCGTATTCCTTTGTGTTTTAACAAAAACCTGTGATGAGTTGCTGTTGCTCTTTCAAAACGATCATGCTGGTGATTTCTCTCCCTTTGACATAAATAACTGATCCTCTTCCCTCAATACATGTGACATGGTTGTTGTTGTTGTTGTTGTTGAGTTACTCTTCCTGCAATGCATTATTTGAGAAATGTAGGGGAAGCTATAAAAATCGTGATCAATCATCAGGGACAGCAGGTGCGCTCAAAGCAGGCAGGTGTTCAAATGTCGCTTATCGGAGCCGAGGAGAAATGTGTTATAAAGTGGTCAGGTGGTAGGAGGAGTAGAAGCTGCAGAAGTAAACAACATTTGAATATGTGGGCATGTTAGTATTATATCCTAGGTCTGATTAAGTAAATTATCCTTTACTTTGTGAGTATTTGGAATAAGAAAAAAATGGCATAATGTATTGTTGAATCTTTCAAATTAAAGCAGTCCTTAATTATTGGACTTAAAGGTCACCTATTATGCTAAATCCACTTGTCCATGTCTTATATACATAAACATGTGTCCCCTCTGTGTACAGAGACTATGAAAGTTTCAGGAAAAAAGATTCTCTCTCTTTTTGTCCTGNCAGAGGGGATTATGGGTAATGCTGCAATGATCTGTTTGGTGTTTAGAGCCGAACACTTCAGAGACATGTTTTGTATATATCTGATACCTGTAATATATATTTATGAAAAACAGTATAATAGGGGACCTTTAAACATATCTGTGGTGGAGCCAAACTTTTTCACCCTTGTCTTTTTTATGTATATGCACAACCTAAGAAGTGATTCAATGAGCTGGGATAATTGAAAAAGGTTGGTGCTTTTACTCTTCTTCCAATAACCTGCATGTAGTGTCCTCTACATCATGTCCTCAATGCAATAATGAATCTCTAATAGAACAGAAATTACTTTCTACTTTTCTAAGAATACATAGTGGTGCATTATTAGAGGATAACATCCCAAGGATAGTATATTTTAACACATCAAAGCTTCTTTTTTTTCTTTTTTTTACAGCTGAATGAAATCAATTTGCAAGCATACAGTGACTACCCTGATAAAAGCACGGGATAAATTGCTATTTGTCCTTAGTGGAAAGAAGTGAGGCTTCAGTAAATTAAAAAAGCAAAAAACTACCTGAATATCCACAGGGAGTGTAAGAAGAACTTCTATTAATCTATTATTTAATATAGTTTCACACAAGCTCAGGAATGAGCAGCCAGGCCTCTGGATATGCACGCCTTAATGAATGAAGGCTTTCTTTTACCCTTCAACAATAATTTATGAGCGAATACATTTCCATAAACAACCTGTTGATGTTTCTAACCTTGCTTGAATAATTTTTTTTTAAAAATCAACTTGTTACTTTATTTATAACTACGAAATGCTGAAAGATGAACCCAACCAAACACTGAACATGCTGTGAATGTGTGACAGCTTGTATTTCTACCTTTTGAACCCAGCTCTCATATTGCGTTCGGATTCACTTTTGATCTTACATGAAAGGATGTACTGTAGGCAGGGGCGTAGCTGGAAATTCTGGGCCCCATGAAAGAATCTATTTGTGGGCCCCCAATCCATGCGAGTGCGCATTAGCGCGCACGCTAAAAAAAATGTGGCCATTNATCGACGGTGACGACCCACTTTGATTCATTCAAACATTCGAAAATGCTTTCTGCTGCTGCGGACAAGAAAGCCAAACAACTCACGTTCCCCGAGGCATCAACCTCCAAAACCCTTTCGAGGGCTACAAGAAACGAAGTGAGTAGCCTACAAGATTGAAGCTGGTCAGATAACGAACGAGTAAATGAAAACAGAATGAGGCGGAGAAGTGTGTGTGTTAGAGAGAGAGTGTGATTAAAATAGCCCAATTGCTTTTACAATAAATAAACATTGAATGTGTTTAATTGAATAGGAAAGGGGTTTAACGTTAGTGGCAGGTTGTGTGTTGAGAGAGAATAAATAGACAGCCCAATATTTAAAAAAAATCTATTCTTTTTCGCAACTTTCCGCAATTTCACCGCATAAAATCACATAAAAATCCTGCATGTTTAATCGCATAATCAAGGATTTTTGCCCGCGTTTTTCTGGAGGGTCCATTTAAAGTATATTCCTTAGTGCTATGAAAGGGTGTGTGGTTAGACCATTTCTGTGTTTATGGTTGCAGGTCCAATTCCAATAGTATGCAATTTAGCCTATATATTTATAACCATTTCTAAACCTGCTAGTGGTGTTCAGCGTCACTGGTCTGGTATCTGGTAAGAGGTTA